CATATTAATTTTGTAATTATCATTACGGTTGGGAATTTTAACTTTATTAACTGACTAACAGTAACTGTTGGTATGTAATCTTATTTTTTTAAAGTTTGAGCTTAAAATATTAATTTTGTAATTAATTTAATTGTTTTCTTTTGGACCTCTTTAGAACTTGAGTCTAATGAATAATCCAACTATGGTTATAGATTTCGAGTAATTGAAACAATGTTAGCACTATTGTAATGCAACATCCAGTAAATAGTTTGTTTGTGTAAAACGTAAACAAAAACTATCATATAAACCTTAATGGTTTTAGTTCTACTCAAGGTAGTAAATGTAACTGAAATTCAATACATAATATTTTATATGTAATTGGTGTATAGAAACACAAAATCATAACAAAAATAAAGATCAAAATATCTTAACCATTCAAGTTGCAAATATATCATTGTATAGTTGTCTTTTTATTGTAAGAATCTTTAAAATTATCTGGTGGAAAGAATTAAACTATCATTCCACTTGTAAACTGGCATAACTTGTTGTGGGCCTAAGTTACAAATGATGCTTAAACCTCTATAATACTACTAGGACTAATCTAAAATCGTCTTACTTGTAAACGTAACTCAATAAACGCGATAGTAAACACACTGACTTATTCAATTATTTGTCTTAAAATATCTCTACGATCTTCACAAGTATCTCGTATCCATAATCTCTCTTCGAATGTACGAGAAACACTTAACGTCAACTTAGAATTTTCTAGGCGTTCTAGGCCTATCTTAACATCAGACGTCCCCTAGTGAACAAACAAATTAGAACATTAAAATATAGCCTACAACAATATGTTTGTATTGAATGATTGAGCTACATAACACGATTCTACCTTATTTTAGTTTGTTTTGTGAAAAAAGAAATACGTGTTAAATGTAGGAAAAAACGGAATGCCAAAAATATATAGAAAAAGTACATCGTTTGAAAGACGATATGATAACTCGTGTTTTGATTCGATCAAGTCCTCCGGTGGGTTAGGTAAGTTTACTCACTTACAATGTTAAAATTCAAGATTAGATTTTCCACGGTGGACAGAGAGCAAATAGTTCATTGTGTGTCTTGGCGTTAAAATAAAAACGAATACCCCTAATAATATGATAATATAAACAATATATTCCACATATTATAGTAAAATATTCATAATAATATGATTTATACAAATAAATCACTGCTGTGTGATGCTTTACTATATATATATATTTAGACTTCTAATGAGGAGCCGTCATTAAACAAAATATTATTCGTTTACGATCTTGACTACTGGTAATCTTTTAAGCATTTTTGTCGGAGTTAACACAATGTGTGCTGTTTTTTACCCCCTACCTGCTTACCCATACCTATAAATATATATATATATATTCGTTATTTCCAATAATGCCCTTAAAATTAACGTTCAAATATTATTTTTTACTTTCCATAGAACGTTAAGAATCTGCCTCACCAATGTTAGTAACTAAACAGCTAATTTTCACATACTGTTTAAAATGTTGACAATTTAGGTTAGGCTTAGTCCTAAGCTTTTGCTGTAGGACAATTTAAATACTAATATTTAACAGTTTCATTTTCAGAGAAGTTTGTGAAGGCTCAGCAAAAACAGTGTGTATCGTTGAGGTACTTAGAATTTTAAATATTGCTGCTATTAGTATTAGTTTTACTGATAGTGATATTATTACTATTAATATTGCAGTCTCAGAAATTATTGGATTATTATTACTATTAGTAATTACTACTAGTATAACTATTACTTTTACTTATTTATTAGTTATTACTTTTAAATTTAAGCTTGTGAGATTAATTCAAGTTGCATGTTAATTTGTTAAAATGTTTTAAGTTAGTGTAAATCTTGCTCACTGTTAGTGTTAGTCAGTTACTAAAGTTAAAATTCCTAACCGTAATAAATATCTGGTATTTACTATCCTCTACCACGAATTGTAGCTAGAAAAACAATGTAAGGTAAAATGAATAGCTGATAACTCTGACATCATATTCATAATACCATGTTGAAAAGCGCTCTGTAAAAGATCGTGGCTATGCACAAAGGGTTAATGTCCACAAACTGATTGTTTCCAAACTCAGTTAAAATATAAAACTCAATTAAAACATTTTTGGTGAAGGCACAAAATAAAAATATTCACGCAAGAATGTGAAAAAGAACACGGTTGTACAGATAACTTTGTTCTCAACAACAAACAAACTACAGCACTTGGATATTTTGCTAATAAAAAGGTTTAATTATAAATACTCTATGAAATTGTCCCCTCATGTACCAGCGTTATGCTTTAGGACGTATAACGTGAACACAGCGCAGATAATACATTATCTACCTTTGCGCTAAACCGTACGCTACGCAATTAAGAATAAGCTTAGAATTTCATATAAACAGACAGTTTGTGAAAATGAAAATTCTTTCCGTGACCTCTTCTCAACAATATAATTTAAATTTCATCATTGAGATATGGAAAATTGTTGTTATTATTGGTGTTTAGCACATAACTTCAATGGACTATCCTGTACTCTGTCCACCGCAAGAAATCGAATCCCGAAATTTAGCAGTGTAAGTCCAAAAAAACCCTACCGTTCACCCACCGGGGACAATATGGAAAGTTACACAGCTAACAAAGCAAAAATAGGGTGTAGTTGTGAAGTAACACAACATTGAAAAATAGCGCTCATGCGACAAAAACACACACACACACACCCAGTAGCATAGCGGTATGTCTGCGGACTTCCAACGATAGAAACCGGGTTTCAATACCCGTGGTGGGCATAGCACAGATAACCTATTTTGTAGCTGTGCGCTTAATTCCAAACAAACAAGGAAAAACACCAATATAGTTTGTCCAGCGGTGGGTCAATTGTACGTTGAGAGACTTAAAATGACAAAATCCGAGGTTCAATTCCCTGCAGTGGACAGAGCGCAGAAAGTATATTCTTTAGCTCCGCACTAAAACAACAACATGAACAGAGTTCAATGGCACCTCGCAAGAATGTTCTACATAAGTTTCATCTGTTAACTAGTAACGTGTTTTTTGTATAACGTTTATACCTAGAGTCCTAGATATGTTGATAAACACCGCTGGAATTAAGTGAAATCTGTTTTTGTTTTCTTTTCAAAAGAGATAAGAAGAAAATCCATTTAGATGAGAGTACATAACGGCATTTTTCAAAGCTCTGTGAAACTCGGTTTATTTATCGAAGCCGACTACTTAATACACCTCGACCTGCAACACTCGAAGGCTGAATACAGATACGAGCTGACAATAAAGTCATTACTGACTGAAATATAACTATTTATTTATCAACGACGATGCTAAATATCGCATTTTTCGAAACTTACAAGATGAAGTGGCTAGAGAAAATAATGTTTTCGATGTAACTTAGAGTCATTAAAGATTACGATTTTCAGGAATTAAATAGTAAGAGTTAATTTATTTGTATTAATCAACAACTTAATCTGTTTTCGACCTGTAGTTCCTCTTTGGCGAATGATGGGGTATCTGTGCTGAGCCCACCACGGGTATCTAAACCCGGTTCTTACGTTATAAGTTTGGTTTGGTTTGAATTTCGCTCAAAGGTACACGAGGGCTATCGGCGCTAGTCGTCCCTAATTTAGCAGTGTAAGACTAGAATGAAGGCAGCTAGTCAACAACACTCACTGCAAACCTTTGGGCTACTTTTTTATCAACGAATAGTGGGATTGAACGTCACATTATAACGCCCCTCGGCTGAAAGGGCGAGCATGTTCGTTGACGGGAATTCGAACTTGTGACCCTCAGATTACGAGACGAGCGCCCTAACCACCAGCTTGAGTGTTATTTAGTGCAAGTCTTTAAGAATTCATCCAGCAATATATAACTCCATTAGATGCTAATATGAATGCTTCTTCTCCCGGTGGACAAGTGATAAGTCCGTCGGCTTATAACGCTAAAAATCTGTTTCGATACCCGTGGTGGACAGAGCACAGATAGCCCATTGTGTAGTTTTATGCTTTACAACAAGCAAATAAACAAAGCTAATATCAAAAGGGCTCGCCCTGTATAATTGATGCAGAAGAAATGAAGAAGCTAAGATAGAGCAGGATTCCTAATTGCACATTCCAATTCCGAAGAGAAAATCTACTGAGCTAAGCAGTCGGGCTAGAATAGCACAAGCCCAGTCTTTACCTCTTTGTCTCATTAGAACAGAAACTGACAAAATTAATTTCGAAATATTTTTGATAAATATGTGAAATTTTCCGTACGTTAACGAGTAAAAAAAGTACCAGTTAGAAATGGTACTGAAGAGGCTTAATTACGTTGTTGATGAAACAAATCATCATTAGCGCGTTGAACAATGACATAAACAAAACTAAAATAACACAGGAATAAGCCTATCCGATGTTAATCAGTAATAATTAATTATTTAAAGTTTAAACCACCAGTTCCTAAAAATCCACATGTTTACTTACAAGCTTAAGAAATGAATTTATTAACTTCAAAAACATGTTAAACAGATTTTGCGTGTGTGTGAAGAAACGACCCTTATCTCTAGGTGCATTCCGACGTTTCGGTTATCTTTATTAAGGGTTCCAGCTTATGGTGAGGATCCTTTGTATTTACCTAGAGATAAGGGTCATTTTATCCACAGAATATCTAAGGTACTAATGTTAAACAGAATATTTTGAAAAGACTGATTTTTTTTTTTTTTGCAATCGTTGTTTTTTGAAATAAAGATGCAAACTTACATAAATGGATATATAGGTATTAATAGTAGATGTAGATATATATAAACCTGCTATCTCATGAACAAAACCGGTAAACTTAAACTATGTAAAATATTCAGTGTGGCTGTATTATCGACGTTTCTATTTTCAGTTATCCTCTGAATATGCTTCCATTGGCACAGCGGAATGTCTGCAGACTTACAACGCTAGAAACCGGGTTTCGATACGTGTGGTGTGCAGAGCACAGGTAGCCCATGTGTAGTTTTGTGTTTAACTTCAAACAAACAATCCTCTGAATATTAAAGATTGACTACACGTTAATCCTTCATTTATGAGACGACCTACATTCGCCAATACAGGGTATTATGTTTGTATATATCCATTTAATGTTCATAAATCGTGATTTTTGAATATTTAAAAAAAAATTAAATTACGTCTTAAATATAACTATGTCTTCTTTCATTGTACTATTAGGTTGATCAAGGTGTAGGTTTAAGTTTTGATTGCAATACAGGAAAACGTGATTCATCGTTTCCTATATTTAAACTAACAAACCTGACCTGTGGTGAGCTACATTTGATAATAGTGCATGTTATATGTTCTTAAATCATGAATTTTGACTGAATAAAAATGTTCTGTTAGACCTTGAATATAAGTATGCTTAATTCCGTTGTACTGCTGTGTTAGTTAAGAGACAGATTTATGTTTTGACTTTATAGGAAAACGCGATTCTGCCTCTCCTACGTTTGAACGAACATCACTTCTAAAACTTTAATTTTTAGATATTTTACAAATTCTATTGAACTGTAAGTTATTCACACTTGATTTGATACAGACAAATATCCAAAGATAATTAATGATAATTAATTGTGCAAAGTTTAAACTACCAGTGCTTAAAAATGCGCAGAATGTTTCAGTTTTCCCATTGAAACTTTGAGCAGGTAGTGAATTTTAAATAAAGAGATAAGAATAACAGATAGGCTCATTTCACACAGAAAACTGGACCTTTTTACTGAACCAGTTACTAAAGAAAGACGCAAAGGAAATAAGATATAGGTGATCATGGATTTCCATAGTCGGAGTTATGTATGATCTAAGTCAATCACTAGTGTGGATATCTACTTTGCAGCATAGCTCCCCATTTCTTTTCTACCAGAAGCTGATTCAGTTTCTATAACAACCAGTTGGTAGTGGAAGGAAAGTGGTAGGGTTACAGGATAGCTATGGAGTATCATTACTGTCTTAACAACGATCTCGGAGAGCACAGCCAAGGCTGAGGTCAAGTTCAAAACGCGAGGATGCCTGTGTTGACCAAGTTGTCCACAGGCAGTGGAAATTATGTAATACAGGCAGGTTATATGTGACAGTACATAAGACCGTAGACAAGGAGTTTGACTGCAGGCTTGTTTTCATATTTTCACACTTCAGAAAGAAATGTGCGGTATAGCACTGTATCATGCATTAGCTTAACTCCCTTAGCTACGTGAAGATCTGCAGAGCAGTGAAATGTGCTATCCACTGCTCTGCCAACACATCAGCCACGGACTGTGCTAAAATGTCTTCCAAAGGGTAGGCATTGGTCCACATAATGAAGTAACTGGTGATAACTAGCACACAACAATTAGCCTGATCAGTCTTCGAACGGGGCCAGCAATATCCAAGGCTACTTGTTCTCTGTTGAAGAGAAATAACAAGTCTTTGCTGGTATGTGACTTGTATATGTTTACTATTTTTCATCTGCACACGGGGTGCATTGCTGGCTCCAACATTGAACATCACGATTAAAACCTGACCAGAAGAACCATTGTCATATCTTAGCACTAGTTCGAGTAACACCCTGGTGACCCCAGTCCCTGTATTGTGCAAAGTCTGGAGAATCTGTCCCTTCAGAACTCACTGGATCTCTAGC